TACCTCTTCCTTGTGCTCCTTTTCTCCCCTTCCGCTTTGAATGTGGACATGACATCTGGAGTTACAGCAGCCTTTTTGTGACCAAGAGGTGGCAAGCATGAGGAGGAAAGCCCCATCCTAAGGCTGGCAGAGTGGAACAATCTTGAGCAGTTGCCCCAGCCGTGCCTACTTCCTTACTTCTTGCTATGTGAGGAAAATCAGCCCAATCTGCTTTAACATTAGTGAAGATTTCTCTCACTTCCTACCAAACAGAGCCTTAACTGACCCAGGGTTTGTTAATTCCATGAATGTGATGTGTGAAATCAATGCGACACCTGTGGTAGTATGGGTTTCATGCTTTGGGAGGCCTTTCTGTAAGCCAGCTGTATTCCTTTGCCAGAGATGCCATCACAAAACACCACAGACTGGGTGGCCTAAATCACAGATAGTTATTTTCTCACAATTCTAGGGGCCAGAAGTTCAAGATGGGAACTGATCATAATCCTAAAGGACAGTCCCAAATGCCATCATCCCCAATGTTAAAATCCTGAAAAATCAAAATCCCAGAAATATTTTAGAAAAAAACTTTTCCAGCCAGGCGTGGTGGCTCACACCTGTAATCCCAGCACTTTGGGAGGCCGAGGTGGGTGTCACGTGCATCCGTGTGAAGAGACCACCAAACGGGCTTTGTATGAGCAACAAGGAGGCTGTTTATTTCACCTGGGTGGAGGCGGGCTGAGTCCGAAAGAGAGTCAGCAAAGGGTGGTGGGATTATCATTCGTTCTTATAGGTTTTGGGATAGGCGGTGGAGTTAGGAGCAATGATTTGCGGGCAGCGGGTGGATCTCACAAAGTACACCCTCAAGGGTGGGGAGAATTACAAAGAACCTTCTTAAGGGTGGGGGAGATTACAAAGAACTTTCTTAAGAGTGGGAGAGATTGCAAAGTACATTGATCAGTTAGGGTGGGGCAGGAACAAATCACAGTGGTGGAATGTCATCAGTTAAGGCTATTTTCACTTCTTTTGTGGATCTTCAGTTGCTTCAGGCCATCCGGATGTATACCTGCAGGTCATGGGGGATATGATGGCTTAGCTTGGGCTCAGAGGCCTGACATGGGCAGATCACCTGATGTCAGGAGTTCAAAACCAGCCTGGCCAAAAGACGAAACTCTATCTCTACTAAACATACAAAAATTAGCCAGGCATGGCGGCGGGCGCCTGTAATCCTAGCTACTTGGGAGGCTAAGGCAGGAGAATCGCTTGAACCCAGGAGGCGGAGGTTGCAGTGAGCCGAGATTGTGCCACTGCACTCCAGCCTGGGCAACGACAAAAATAGCAAGATTCCGTCAAAAAAAAAAAAATATATATATATATATATATAAACATGACAGAACTCTTAATAGGCTACTTTACACAATAAAATGGACAATAATACCATATTTTTTGCAAGCAGAAACACTCAGATATACTAACAACAGTCACATGGGTATAACAGTTATGAGCATACGAACCATATTCATAAACAAATAGATCAAAAAGCAAAATATAAAAATGTATATCACACTATGGTTGGTAATTTTGTGCCCCCAGCTTTATACAGCAGTCATCTGAAATACTGTGATTCTTAGATTCTTCTAAGTCTTTTGATTGATTAAAACCATGATGAATCACCACCATATCACCACATCAGTTGCCCAAAGAGCCAGGGTATTGAGAAATTTTATTTTTCATAAAAGCAGATGTACAAAGAAGATACATTTGCATTTATTGAGGAAGTTTTAATGTCTTTATGCACACACATGTTGCTTACACACAAGTTCAACATTTTGAAAATACACTGTCATGGAGTTACATTTGCAAAAATGCACAAAGCAAATTAGAACTCTCCAAAACTCTTTGTACAATGCATATAGCATTGGAAATGATGCAAAGATGAAATAGGTAGCATAGAGAATTATAAAAAAGAATGCTGACAATTTCAAATAGTGAAAGAAACTAAAAAAAAAAAAAAAAAACCTAGAAACTAAAAAGAAAATTCAACAAATAAAAAAGTTATGGAGCTAGATTATGGGCAATTGCATGGAGATTGTCCATAAGAGCTGGCGAACTTTCACAGTCATTAACTATATTTTGAAGTCTCACATCACAAGAAACAGCTACTTTTTTTCTTTTAGGACATGGCTGTCCTTGGAGAATATGTTCACATTTATTTTCTATGTGACACTGCTCTTTTGAAAACTCTTCTGTGGTTTAATATACACCTACATGAGCATCCCTCATTAAGTTTTCCCGTCTTCTGTGCCATCCTTCCGTGTTGTTTCCGTGTTGTTGCGGGTCTGTGGAAATCTATTCCATACGCACACACATACAGACCACAGATCTAGTGGAAGCGATACTGGTGATTGAACTGCAACAATACTGCCCATCATGCACGTAACTGTTTTTGAACCAGTCAGTAACTTCGCTGGCTTCTTCAGGCAAATGTGGCTTTAATTCATTAAAAACTCCTGGAATGCCATCAGAAGGAATGAATGCCAATACAGGCAAATGATGCATTTTTAAACTGAAGTTTTCGTCATTGCTGTATCACATGACCAGTCCACTCATCTGACTTTTCTGCCAAAGACATTGGACAGAATGGAAAAAACAAACTTTATTGGTAACACCTTGAAGTTTGCCTTTAGAAACCTCAATCACACCTAATTCTAAATCCGTCTTAATGGTTTGAGGATTCAGTTGAAATCCATTTTCCTCTGCATAAAGACAATAACAAAGTAAATAGTTTCATCTAATGTGATGCAACTATCCTGTGATTTCGATTTTGGGGGTTTTTAGATGTTAGGGATTTAGACTTCAGAGGTTTTGATTTTTTGGAATTTCAATATTTGGGATTATAGATTTCGGGATTGTGGCTTTCGGGACTATAAAGAAAACCTGTCCAAGATGGAGATGTTGGCAGATTTGGTTTCTTTTGCGGCTTTGACCCTTGGCCTGTAGACCATCTTCACCCTGTGTCTTCACGTGGTCTTCCCTCTGTGTGTGTCTGTGTCTTCATGTCCTCTTATAAAGACACCAACTGTATCCGATTAGGGCCCATTCTAAGGATCCCATTTTAACTTAAACACCTCATTAAAAGCCCTTTTTCCACATACAGTTACCTTCTGAAGTACTGAGGGTTAGAACTTCAACATATGCGTGTTAGAACTTCAATATACGCATTTGAGGGGAATGTAATTCAGCCCATAACAGAGTCTAATCATTTATTTTTTAAATAGAAGCTATTTTTGTCTTCTCTAAAATATTGTAATCACCTGACAGCATGGCGCATGAACGTTCAGAGTCCACAAGAAGTAAGAGAAATTTGCAGACGACAGGGAAGAGCCTTGCATTTGAGATCAGGGGGCCCTGGGCTCATAGATATCATTCACTTACAGGCACGGGCAGGTTTAGTTTCTCTGAACCTCTATGTCTTTACTTGTAAAAAGATGTGAATACTACAGGCAATAATATATACAAAAGTATCTGGCATATACGAAGTATATCTTATCAAATCTAAGAAGCCATCAATTATAAAATGTTTCATTATGCTATTTGTACCAAAAGTGGCAAAATCGTGCCAGGGGAGATTTTCAAATTACAGATTCAGGAGCTCTACCAGCAGATTCACTGAGTTTGAATCTCCTGGGATGAAGCTCAAGGATTGTCATTTTTAAAAAATATTTTCCCCGTTATTCTGTTGATAGACTCAGAAGCCAGGACTTTCAGCATGTTGTCAGTCAATGTGCTGAAAAACCGAAATTTTAATTCTAAGCTGCCATCTTTGGAGCTACTTATCGTTTTCTCAGATATTCTATAGGAAGCCTGGATTTCCGCCCTTGCCAACAAAAAGTCATTGCCCAAATTCTTTACATTTTCTAACCCATTCATTGAATTCCAGAAACTCTAGCTCATAAGTTGCATAAAATAAATACTTTGGTAGAACATGTAAACAAAAACCTGTTCCGGTGGTAGGAATGCTGCTGCATTTACCCTTAGTAGGTAGCTCTCTGATCCCTTTCCCGGACTATAGGACTATAATGTGCGGGTGCTGAGCCCCCCTCGGTCATTCTACACTTTCATGATTCTAAATGATGTCAGTTCCCTGTATTTTTTAAATCATTTTTGCCAAACTTTTAAAAAACTAGTTGAACCCTTTTAAATATTACTTTTTCTGAATATCTATGATTAAATTCTGAGTAACAGTAACCTTATTATGAGCACAGAAAAAGCAAATGTCAAGATTATTAGAGCTATTTTGAACTCCTTGACAATCTTTTAGGTCTAGTAAACTACCTAACCGCCTCCCAACGACATCATTTCACAGTCTTCAGATCCACATGTATATGCTCTATGATCTCAACTGAGTCCAAGCCCCTGATTTCATAGCTGAACAAACTGATGTTCCACCCCTCCACCCCTCAACCCCCACCCCTGAGAAAGTAAGTGACTTCCCCAAGGTCACATCCAAGCTGGCCTATAGTCACTGAGCCCAGTTCTCCTATTTGCAGCCTAATGTCCCTTCCAGTCCTCCCACCCCTCATGGCCCATGATCTGTTAGTGACACTTCAGGGAGATTTCCCAAAAGCATCGGACAATATGTAGTCTAACCGAGCAGAAAACTGCCCTGAATCACACACAGATCATTCCTGAGCCACGTAGTTCCTGTTTTTATGCAGATTTCCTCTGAGCCTTGGCTAACTCCCAGGGAAGCGCACATATCAGCTCTGCTATATATTGGCAGAACTTTGGCTTAGAACACATCTCGAATGCTTTCCGTTGAACATTGGCAGCCTTGAAGAAACATGGCTAGAAAATTATTCCAGGAGGCCTAATTGCTCGGTGACACTTTACAAGGAGAAGCTGATGGCTTTCTCGCCCAAGCTTTTCCCTCTGTGCCCAGAACAAATGACTGCAGTTCCCAGTATATGCCCTAAATTAGGAGAGGGCAAACTCAGGGGCAGCATGAATTGAGGGACTGTCTCTACTGGGCAGGGGCTCTCTTCCCAGCACGGTGTGCATTTTGCCAAGCTCTTTCTCCTTCAGTTTTAAAACCCTGTGTATTCCAAGAGAAATGTCGTCCATGTGTTTCTGATTCACTTACACTTAAATCATTAAAATGTTGTTTTGTGAGAGTTATTTAATGTGTGAGGAGCTGGTGAGTCTTCTTAATGGGAATGTTAAAAGCTTTTTTTCCTGCGCTGACTGAGACAGAAAACATGTTGCTAAAACAGTGCCTGAGTTCAAACATATCCTCCCATCTCATATACTTGTACCTGCATTATCAACCACAGCCTCTCGATTATGCCAAGCTTGGCAAGGCTGGCATTCAAAAGTGTGAAAATTAGAGAAACTGGAGAGAAAATGGAGTAAGAAGTGCAGTGAGAGTCAAGCCACTGTTTCCCAGAACGTGCCAAAGGAGCGTTATCTGAGGGTAGAGAGTGCCGGTGTCTGCAGCTTTGGTGGGCGTGGCTGGCAGCCCTCTCTCTGATGCTCCCCTGGACACTTCCACAAACACAATCTTATTTAAGCCTCATAGTAACTCCCATTTTCCAAATGAAGACACAGAATCAGATACGTTAGGTATTGTGCCCAAAGTGCACAGCTGTCTTGGGTAGAAAGGAAAGATTACAGCTGAGTCTAATCTTCTTTTAAAATGACTCAAATTGAGTTTCTCTGTGAATGCTGTGTGTGTGTGCATTTGAAATTCCATATGCATTATAAAATGTTAATGAGTAGCAGTGTAATAGAGTGGCTAACACTTCAAATTCTGCCTCTATTACTTTCTAGCTGTGTGAACTTGGGAAAGTTACTTAACCTTTCTGGGCAATTTCCTCTGAAAAATGAGAATATTACCAGCTGTGTATACAAGATATAAAGATGACTGAAGAGAGTTGATCTATTAAGTGCTTGGAGTAGTGCCAGACACATAGCACTCAATAACAGTTAGCTTCTAGTGGTCGTGGCAGTGAGGAGTAATAAATAACTGGATGATCTTGGCAAGTGGCATATTCTGAGCCTTAGTGTCCTCACTTGTAAAATGAGTATAACAGCAGCACTCTCAACAGTTTGCAAAAGTAACTGAGATGACGTTTGTGCCTAGCACTGTGTCTAACACAGAAGAGGTGCACAGTCAAACTTAACTTCTACACCCAGATATGCCGCTCCCTGTTCAGTGTTGGTTTGTTGTTGCTGTGGAGGGGGTAATTTTCTTATTATTCAGCTCATCTTAGATCTAGTGTTGATTTCTCCAGAAGCCATGGGTATACACACGTATACAGGCCCAGGTCTTTCTATACCCCTGGGGCAGTGAGATTTCTTACGTGATGGGCCCTCTCTGGGCTGGATTAGAGCCATGCACACTCCAAGCCGGTAAATAGTGCCACAGGTATTGCTTATGGGAAGGAACAACCAGCCAACTTCAGGACTTGATGCTCCCCCAATTCCGGGGCCAGTGGCTCCGTTCACACGAAAACCTGTCGGCGTTTGTAACTCTGATCATGAGAAAACCTGTAGTTATTTGGGGCTCTGCTCACAAGGAAACCTGTAGTTATTTGCAGACAGAGGCTCTGGGATTTAGACCTTTTTTATCTTCTAGTGTGGGTGCTAGCATTGCCTTCTTAGTTGGTTGTTTCTATTTAATTGCTTTACTTTCACGGGTGTCCTGAAGAAAGGCAGAAAATTATAGTCATCTGGCAAAAAAAAAAAAAAAACTAAAGAGAAATTAGACTTTGTCCCCTTTCACTGTCATTCTACACACACACACACACACACACACACACACACATACACACGGAATGATACAAATACCTGCTTGAGCCCCTCAGTTATTTTCTCTCAAGGGCTGAAGTCGGTCACACGGGATAAAGGAGGGAACGGAAGGAGCAGATCTTTTCGGGAAGAAGACACGTTTTGTTGTCAGGTTCCTGGGAGTGCAAGAGCAAGTCAAAGCAGAGAGAGAGGAGAGAGGAAAAGCCAGAGGGAGAGAGGGGGAGAGGGGATCTGTTGCAGGCAGGGGAAGGCGTGACCTGAATGGAGAATGCCAGCCAATTCCAGAGACACACAGGGACCTCAGAACAAAGATAAGGCATCGCGGACACCACACCGGGCACGAGCTCACAGGCAAGTCAAGCTGGGAGGACCAAGGCCGGGCAGCCGGGAGCACCCAAGGCAGGAAAATGAGGTACGTGCCAGGGGAGGAGAGGGCACAGTTCCCTTTTGGGGACCCGGTGTCAAATAGCAGGGAGGGTCTGACCTTGCCACTGGACAGACTCACCTGTGTGTCCTGCCTGTGGTAGAGAGGGGGGTTCTCAGCAATTCTTGGGGCTCTGAGAAGGGAGCTGTGGGTGGGCTGGGTGCCTTCCCCAGGACTCCGGGAGACCTAAAACTTGAAACGGGAGACTGTGTAAATCCTGCTTCGGGCGCTGCTGAAGCTCGGATTTCTCCCACTGCCTGCGCAGGGTGCTGCCTGCTGGCGAATGTGACTCTTCTCCTGCTCACCCACAAGGCTGATTTTTCCGTGTTCCTCCTCTGGAAAGAGCATTGCTTTCTCTCTTCCAACACTTTGTGAGTTAGATATGTGTTTGTGTGTTTATTCGTTCTGACCAAAAAAGAAACCAGCTTCCCATAGCTTGACTCTGTGGTTTCTTCAACCTTTACAAGTTTGCCAGTTAAACCTCAATTTAGAAAACTAAAAATCTGTCCCCATTTTACAGTTCCCTACAAATTTTCCACATTTCTCATTGAAATCAGAGGCAGCTGGTGGCATGAATCAGGCTATGAAGTACACCAAATGGCTCTTAAAGAGATATCACCCTTAAAAAAATAAATAAATAAAGGATTTTAGATTTCTGAAATCGAGAACTTCACATTCTAATTGGTTTTAAACTCTTTAACCTTTCTTATTCCTCATTATACTTGACACTCCTTACCAGACCTTTCATACAAGTTTTTTCCCGCAAGTCTGAAAACCCAGCCACCCTAGTTTTTTTTATTACTTAAGTGTTAATGCTGTTAAACACACACACACACACACACACACACACATACACAATGCTCTGCAGATGTGCAAAGTCCCTAAATACCTCTTTTACTATAATGTTCTTTTCAGTTGGGAAAGTGTTTTTATTTGTTTCTCTTCTGCAAAGTAACCTAGCAACTTTTCTGGGTCTGAGACCAATGAGAGGCTTCAGACTCTGTTAACTCTTTGAACTCCAATTACCTGTGGTTCAGAGAGATAACCAGGTCTTTAAAAAGTTAGTGCAATAATTCTGTTCTTTTTAAATCCATTGTAATTTTAAACCTGCCATTAAACATCATTTTTCTTTCTCCAAAAAAAAAAAAAGGAATTTATGTCAATCTATGTTGAATGATCATCTCATTTATCTGTCAGTGATCTGGTCTGAATCCCACCCTACCATTCAGTGCCCCAGCCCATATCAAACTACTTGGCTAAGAGATAGTTCTGTATCATTGCATATGCTCATCTCTAAACTTGGAGCAACCTTCTTCTTTATTTTCCACCTAGAAGACCTGATTGTTCAAGCTGGCACAAATATCTCTCTCTCTCCTGGCCACCATCTTCCAGAGTGAGCACCCCCTCCTTTGTCCTTTGTTCTGTCTCTGTCCCTTAAAGCTGCATCTCTTATTGTCCTTGTAGTATGTCCTTGTTTAAATGTCCACCTCCCCTTACAAATCTCAGTGCTCCTTAAGTTACATGATCTATGTCTTCATGTTTGTATGGCCAGCACCTAACATAATGTCTGTTTCCTACTAGCCATTCAGTACCTATTTGTTGAATTGAATTCAATTTTTGAATAGCCAAGCAACTACGAGAAAAGCGCTCCGCTAGAAAAGTCTCCAGCAGGTCTTGTCTCACATGGATACAGTGTTTCAGTGTTTGCAGAGCACTTTCAAGAGCACTGTCTCATCTGGTTTTCAGATTCCAGATGAAGTAAGGATTTATGGATAAGTGGTGGGTATAAACGCAGTGAAGCAACTTGCCCAGACCACACTGATGATCATGAAAAGGTGTAAATTCAAATTTAGGTCTTCGAGCTCCAAGTTCAGGATTTTTTCTACTATATTCCACTAGACTTTCAGCCAAGCATATTATTCTAAACTGATGGCTCGTAATTCTGACTGTACATTAGAACGATCTGTGGTGCCTTAGAACATGCCAGTGCTCAGGCCTCACCCCAGACCAATTAAACCAGAATCTCCTGGGGAGACACTTTGGCATTAATATTTTTAAATTTTTCACATAAAGCCATGGATTTTTAAATTATTTTTCACAGAATTAATTGCTTTGGCCAGATGCCTGGGCATGATATGGGCACGGACCCAGCTTCTTCTGTGAGCTCTTGTTATTCCCTTCTTCTGTTGAAGTTATTCACCATATGGTATTGAGCATGATGTGACATCTCTTGGGGTCTCCTTTTCATCATCTGTCAAATTAGGGTGCTCTGTAAGGGATCCATGCAGTCCCTTCCAACTCTTCAGTTCAAAAATGGAGTCTTGGTGTGGTGTGGGTTGAAACGAGGGGCGTGTACGGAGAGTGTATGGAAAAGAGAGCAAGCGTCGTTCATGCCACGATCAAGATATATGCAGGCATTTTTACAGAGTCCTGCTAGCCTGTTCCTACAGTGGGACCTATAAAATCTCAGCTCTGTATATTACTTTTGACATTTCAGCAATGTAGCTAAACTTTTTGATTAGCCGGAGGATAGATAGCAGGTGTCAGAAACTATACAGCCGGTGCCTGGTATATAAGAAGCCAAAAACATTCAGAGAGTGTGACGAGGAATGAAAGCTGCCACTTATATTCTTCAATTTACAGCCCCTAACGCGAGCAGGCAAACATATGCTCAAGCCCATTACATGAAGGGAGATATTTGTTTCATATGTTTGAAACCATTTTGAGATGCAAACAAAGTAGAAGGGAATGCTTCCTGGGCCTTCCTCCCACGCTGACCAGTTGCCTACCACACATGGCACCGGGTTTCTGGGCTAGACAGGGCTCTCTGCTGCCAGTCCTTGACAGAACTGGCCTTAGGAGGTTCAGTGTCTCCTCGATGTGGTCTGGAAAAAGCAGACATGGAGGAAGTTGACCTTTCAGCCTTGCATAATTTGGGTGTCAATATTATAGGGAAGTCCGGTTTAGGAACCAAAGCTCATTCCTGACTCTTGCTTTTCGGGAAGTAGCGCGATGGAATAATCATAACTAATGTTTGGTTAGGGCTAGACAGTTAACAAAATACTTCCCCATCCTCCTTTACTCTGATAGCAGTGCTGTGGGAAGTCATTATTATTACCACTTAATGGATGAGGAAACAAGACCTCCCATGACCTCCTAAAATGGACAGGACAAATAAAGTCAAAGCTGGAGCTGAATCTAGCTCTTCTGACCCAGGGCCAGTGCTCTCCTCTCCTCAGGAGGCCTGAACTCCAGCCCTGTTAATATTGGTTCATTTCCTCACTTGAAAATGGGATGCTTGGGCCCTGCCAACTGGTTTTTTGACTCAGCTTTCCAACTAATTCGCAGGTTAACTTGGACATATGCCTTCCCTTCCTTCTGCCTCTGAGGCCCTCCTTCCACAGATTGGTTTAAGAAAATATTGACATTGGCTATGGGATTAAGATATTTTGTTTTCTTCATAGAATGTCACATATTGCTACTGTAGGGACCTTGAAAAAAATTAAATAAATTTACTTTCTTTTTCTTGAAAGAATAGTACATGGTCCTTCTTGACAAATGTAAACATTTTATATGCATAAAAATAGAAATACTTATATTCCCATTTCAGAGATAACTACTGTTAATACCTTGGTGTATATCCTTTCAGACTTTTTGTACTTACCTATTATAACGTTATATAAATATTAACGTGACACCTGATTACCAAATATATCACTGTTAATCTGAAGATGCTGGTATGGTTTCCCAGCATTGACTTTTTAGGCTATCTAAGACTCAGGCCCCACTTTCATGGATTCATTCATTTATAATCTGTTATATATCAGACTCTATACTAGGACCTTTATATGCATCATCTTTCATGATGGAGCCTTATGAATTAGATATTATAATCTCCATTTTATATCGGAGGAAACTGGGGCTCAGGGAGACTTGTTGCCCAAGTTTTCACAGTCAGTAAGTGGAAGAATTGGGACTTAAATCCAAGTACATTTCACTCCAGAGGGTGTGACTAAAGTAGTGCAATGTAGTGCAATAATAGAGAAATGTGCAGGGTGCCGTGGCTTGTGGAGGAGTGAAAGGATACTCCATAGCTGGGAAGCTCTGAGCTGGATGGTGGAGGACAAGCAAGACGGTGGAGGATAAGTAGGTGAGGAGTGAACAGGGCACATGCAATGAGGCTGGAATGGAAGGGCATGGCATGGCCCCAGAATAACTGGGGGATCACAGGGCTGGCTACTGAGATGAGATGGGAAGGACAGATCAGCCAGATCAAAAGTGCCTCAACAGCCATCCCAGAAGCAGACACTTTACCCAGCAGACACAGTAGAACAGCATGGTCACCTCTGTTTTAAAAAATCAGCTTTGGCAGAAGACTGTTGGTGGGTGGGTCGGGGATATCTGTTAGGATGCTACAGCAATAAGTTGTATAAGAAAATGTAAACTATGTAATTAACTGGAGAGGAGGAGAGACGGATTTCCAAAACATAGGAAGCAGAATAAGTAGGACGTGGTAACTATTGACTCTGGGGTAAATGAAAAGATGAACGGTTAAAGTTCAGGCCAGGGAACTGGTTGATGGTAATACCATGAACAGAAATCAGAAACGAGAGCAGGAAATGATAAGGAGAGGAGTGATGAGGCAGCTTCAGCACCACTAAGTTCAAGGTCACCAGACCTCACAGGGGAATCAGTCTGTTTGACAGAGGCCTGGTGTGGTGAATACTGACTGACCAGGAGGGCTTTGACCAGCCTCGGTCATTCTGCCTCGTTATTGCGTCAGCCATGGTGATGTGCTCTGTAAGTTTTATTGAATTTTCCTTGCCTCTTTTGCAACTCTTTATTAGTCCATTATCTCTGATTCCTACAGGAATAAGTTGTAGGTTTTCAATCCTTTTACTAAGAGGAAGAAAACTTGCTTTGCTTATTCCTTCTTTATTAAAGATTTTGCATACTTTGACTGAGTTTGTGGTGAAATACCATTTCAA